AATCACCAGCTCCTCACAGGATAATCTATTAACTGTTCCACTAACCCACCTAAAATCTATGGGTGACAGGGCTTTTTCTGTCTATGCTTTCTGTCCATCACTTTGGAACTCTCTTCCCCAGACTTTTGGCATTTTTAAAACTCTTCTCAAGACACACTTTTTTTAAACTTGCATTCGACTGCTGAAGTCTTTTTAGATTGTTTTATATTTATTTTTTATTATCAATGTTTTTGTTATATATATATATATATATATATATATATATATATATATATATATATATATATATATATATATATATATATATATATATATATATATAATTATTATTTTTTAATACTACACTGATAAATAAATGTTTTATATAAGGGATGCTCAATCCTACTCCTGGAGATCTACCTTCCAGCACAGAGTAGATCTAACCCTAATCAAACAAGTGAACCTGAACTGTTTTTTTAACAAGTTACAAAAATATGCCATTTTACATAGGTTTAAACTTGTGCATCATCCACTTAAAAATATATATATACACAGTATCTCACAAAAGTGAGTACACCCCTCACATTTGTGTAAATATTTGATTACAGTATATCTTTTCATGTGACAACACTGAAGAAATGACACTTTGCTACAATGTAAAGTACTTAGTGTACAGCTTGGGTAACAGTGTAAATTTGCTGTCCCCTCAAAATAACTCAACACACAGCCATTAATGTCTAAACCGCTGGCAACAAAAGTGAGTACACCCCTAACTGAAAATGTCCAAATTGGGCCCAATTAGCCATTTTCTCTCCCCGGTGTCATGTGACTTGTTAGTGTTACAAGGTCTCAGGTGTGAATGGGGAGTAGGTGTGAATTTGGTGTCATCGCTCTCACACTCCCTCATACTGGTCACTGGAAGTTCAACATGGCACCTCATGGCAACGAACTCTCTGAGGATCTGAAAAAAAATAATTGTTGCACTACATAAACATGGCCTAGGCTATAAGAAGATTGCCAAGACCCTGACACTGAGCTGCAGCACGGTGGCCAAGACCATACAGCGGTTTAACAGGACAGGTTCCACTCAGAACAGGCCTCGCCATGATCGACCAAAGAAGTTGAGTGCATGTGCTCAGCGTCATATCCAGAGGTTGTGTTCCGGAAATAGACGTATGAGTACTGCCAGTCAGACTGTCAGTGCTCTGACCATACACCGCACATTGCATCAAATTGGTATGCATGTCTGTCATCCCAGAAAGAAGCCTCTTCTAAAGATGACAAGAAAGCCCACAAACAGTTTGCTGAAGACAAGCAGACTAAGGACATGGATTACTGAAACCATGTCCTGTGGTCTGATGAGACCAAGATAAACTTATTTGCTTGATTTACAGGCCCTCTTCTTTTACTGATATTCAGTTACGTAGTGACAAACCACTCCAAGTGGAGAATTATTTGAGGCTAAAGAAAAAAATGATCAGCCATCTCTTTCACCCACATTGGTCAAATGTATGGGGTTTTTGGGGCAGCCAAAGCTTTGGATGAATCCCATGCTGGAATACTATGGGTGTGCACACATTCGGGCCAATAATTATTTTACCAGCATTTGGCCAAATGCTGGTTTTCTCTGGGCAAATGCACTTTCTTCTTTTACGATTCACTCAACGTAGAAAAATATGCAGCCTCAACACAAACTTCACAATATTATTGGAGAAAATACATGACAAACATAAGTTTCATACCAATTAAAGACTTCACTAACAACACACTAGAAGTGGAATATGGATAACGGAAAAGGTGAAAGAAGGTAAAAATTCTTTCATTTAAGAATAAGGGTCAGTTACTGTGGGATATTGTAATTTAATTATTTAGCATCAGTACACAACTGTTACTTGTAAGGAAATGTAGACCATTATCACCTCAAGTAATATAACACTTAGCTTGCTTTCAGATTACTGTGTTTAGAACATGTAGATTATCAATAAGTAATTTACATAGTTTGAAACTGTCATAATATAAAGTGGACTGTAATCAAAATTGTCACTGTGGTGTTGTTAGTGTGGCCTGAGGGAGAGTTAGCATTGTGCTAAATTAATAATCTGATTTGCTAGTTGTAGATGTAGCATGAGTGCCTCCTCTTTCATTTGATCACAGCTCCTCTTGAAATAAAAAAAAGTCTCAAACCTAGGCATAACTGTGAACGGTTTTGTAGGTAATACATACTGTATACGAATACCATAGACTCGATACATTTTGTCTTGTATCATTTTAACTTTATTCATTTTACGGCTATCAATTTGTTTTTGTAAGGTCTTTAAAAATGTAGAAGTCAATACTTGCAGAGAATAAGCGTTCTGTTCTCATCTTCTGCATTTTTTGAACAACATAATCAAAAGGAATAAGGAAAATCATTCAATTTGGCCACTTTAGTCCTGTATTACGGACTTTTATTGTCAGTTGTTACATTTATGTTCAGCAAATTGCAAAAAAATCTTACCTTTTTTTTTTTTTTTTTTTTTACAGATTTCCTGCAGATAGTCTGAAATTTCTCTCTTCATAACCAATCTTATGCACCTCTCCTTTCCCTGCAATGCTTCTACACCTTTCCTCTTGCCGCAAACGACTTCCTGTTCGCACCATATTTTCTTCACATTTTTTTTGAAGTACAGAGATATTATTTTTTTATTATGCCCAATGTTAAAGATACCATGCTTATATAATTTTGGGCAGCTACTACAATTTCCTTGTTTTCTTTTTCACTGCAAGTAATAGACATTTATTTTTTAACATGCAGGCTTATTCAGTCATTTTATATGTAGCCAGTAATGCATACAAACTTTGCTTCTATAACATTGGAACCACAAACAGAGTTGGGTGTACTGTATACTGTAGTCTAATGACTCTTTCTGATAACACTGTAATGTAACATTAACAATGTAACAATGTAAGCATCACATTCTAAATTTATATAATTTGGTTACAATTACTGATGTCAATAAAATTATGGTACTTTATCACAAATTATAATTTTTTTTTAAGAAAACAATATTAAGTAAAATGCATGTTTAAAAAAAAAATCACGTTTTGCATGGCTACCTGACCTGGGCATTCGGGGCTGTAACCTTGAAGACTTTTTCTTTAGCCCCGGATAATTATCCACTTGGAGTGGTTTGTCACTACGTAACTGCACGTCAGTAAAAGAAGACGGCGGAGTTGTCATTTTATATCTTCAGCAAGACCAATCAGAAAGGGTTTACAGGAAAATATGTGTAAACACTCTTGTCCTATTGGCTGACAGCTCTCAATTCTGCCAAACGCTAGCTCACACAGTCAGTGTGTTGAAACTGAAACAGTAATATCCTCTCATGCTGAACAAGATGCATAAATGTCTATATGAGTTTCAGTTTAAATGAACATATGAGCAAAGCATAGTATGTGTTATTAAATGAAACATCCATTCTAAACTTTCTTACGAATACTACTACTTTGTAATGCTGTCAACTATTTTTCTGTTTTTTATATTCTCTAATAAATTAAATGACCAATAATCCATTATGTAATCTTTATTGTCTTCAAAGACTGCAGTGACATGGTCTCAAGCATTAAGGGCATGAAGATTCTCAAACGGGTTGGTGGTGCTAAAGGCATGTGGACTAAAGACATGGGTGTCTCCACTAAGAAGGTCTACCTCTTTAACGGTACAGAGGAGGACACACTCTATGAGTTCAGTTCTGTGAGGGACTTCAGCTCCTCCCTAGGCTTCGCAGCAAGCAAAGCAGTCCAACTTCCCTCCTCCTGGCAAGGTTTGGGTCATGCTGTGTACAAAAATTATCTGTATTATGTAAAGGGCAGTGAGGAGATAAGGCTGGTGAAGTTTGACCTACAGACATTTTCTGTTGTGGACAGTGCTGTCTTCCCTGCCAAGGACCAGCTCCCAGTCTACAGTCTTAACTCTGAGACCTACATCGACTTGGCTATAGATGAAGAAGGTTTGTGGGCCATTTTCGCTACAATGAATAATGAGAAACATATCTCATTAGCCAAGGTTGATGCTAAAACTCTGGCCATTGAGCAGATGTGGGATACGCCTTGCCCAAGGGAGAATGCAGAAGCAGCTTTTGTAGTGTGCGGCACAGTCTATGTAGTCTACAACTCCAAGCTTCCCAGCCGCTCCCAAATCCAGTGTGTTTTTGATGTGAGTGATATGGTAACTAATGATGATGCTCCTACAGTGTATTTTCCAAAGCGTTATGGCACTCATTCAAGCTTCAAATACAGTCCCATGGAACAGCTAGTCTATGCTTGGGATGATGGCTACCAGATTCTTTACAAGTTACAAATGAAGAAAAAATTGGAGGTTTAGACTATCTTGAAATGGCTTGTAACTAATATAAACAGAATCTGCTTCAAACCCTGGTTTGATGTAGATTTATGTTGGATAGGTTGCTGAGGTTTTTCTGACTGAACCTTAATCATCAACCTAATCATGTACCTAAAGGTACCATTTATTTTTTAATTTTCATTTTTCCTATTATTTAATTTTTTAATAAAGCCTTCACAATAGCAAAATTCCCCCATTTCTAACTATTATGTTATGGTTTGCCTTTACAAAGCCTTGTACTGCTGTACCACCTACTGTACTGGCTAGAAATGATAACGAGAGCTTCAAAATGAATTATGTATACATTAATTTGCAAATGTTTATGCCTGGAATATATCCTTATATTATGTTTAACTGTTTTCCTACACATGTCTGGAATATATCCTTATATTATGTTTAACTATCTTGTACACAACTGAATATTTGAATAAATTGAAATAAATTGAACAACTAGAACTAACTCATGGTTATTCAATCATATTTTTATATAAGACATTTATATAAAGACATTTAAGATGTTAAGGGATTCAATTAGAAAACTTCTTTGGTAACCCTAAGTAAACAAATGTTTGCCTAACTATTTTTCACCATATTAAAAAAATAAATAAAAAATAATGCATCAATGCATTTAATCACAGGGGCGCACGGTGGCTTAGTGGTTAGCACGTTTGCCTCACACCTCCAGGGTCCGGGTCCAGGGTTCGATTCCCGCCGGGGCCATGTGTGTTGAGTTTGCATGTTCTCCCCGTGCTGCAGGGGTTTCCTCCCCCAGTCCAAACACATCCATGGTAGGCTGATTGGCATGTCTAAAGTGTCCGTAGTGTATAAACAGGTGTGTGAGTGTGTATGTGATTGTGCCCTGTGATGGACTGGCACAGGTCCAGGTTCCCTGTGACCCAAGGAGTAAGCGGTAGAAGATGGATGGATGCATAGACATTTAATCACACTTAAGAAATACAAGGGGTGCTAAACATTACAAGTTATATTACAAGTCTGAACTATACATTACAAATAGAAATTCTCAATATAAAAGTGAAAAGTTACTTGTTGCTACCCAAAAAACAAAAATATTTTTTTATTTAAAAACATTTATCATTATATACTATAGCAAAGTTCCAGCCAAAGCATCTACAGATGAGTGCAGTTTGTATCTGCTCTGGGCTTTGGGCAATAGATAAATGTAATGTCCTTGTAATGTTTTCCATTTTACAACTCATTATAAAGTGGCAGAAATATTATAGCAATTGTGTCTAAATCAGTAGTTATTTTTATTAACAATCTCAATTAGCTTATTAGCATTAGCATTAACCTACCTTAGATTATTTATTTGTACCTCATGCTTAAAGCTGTCTAATAACCTAAAACAATCAACACACTTTAATTGATCCTTCCTCAAATAAGACAGAAAGTGCTTAAATTTTACTTTAAAAAGCAGTGGGATCAAGACTTAAACACAGCAAGATTTGAAACCTAAAGAAAAAGAAAGATTCACAGAGCTGGAAGCTGGAGAAGAGTATAAAAATATATCACAGGGTTTAAAAATCAGAAAGATCATAATTCAAAAATGGAAGTAACAGACATAAAGACAATATCAAAACATTAACATGTTTAAATATAGCTGCAAGCAGCAATTATCGGGGTTCAAGCACTTTACGACCCTTTAAGGAAATGTGTAAAACATGCAATTTTACGATATATTGTACAAGCCTATAAGCACCCAAATTATAGAAAATGCAAGATAATGTTAAGAAATATATTGTCATTTACTATAAAGAAATAGCATTTTTAACTGTTTAAACTGTTGTAGCGCCATCTATTGTCTGATCTCTTATACATTTTGCATGCTTCTTAAGAATCATATGTTTATATAATTTTATGCAGTGTTGGGATTGCCTTTAGGAGTTTTTGACTTTGGGTACACTAAACCACACTTCATTTTGTAAATAACCTTGTTATGACTATCTAAACAAAAAAAACAGTTCAGCATAATTTTCTTTTTATTAATTATTGACCCTAGAGAGTCCAGAGAATTGTACTAAACAACGCCTGTTGTGATTGAGTAAAAAACATAGGACTATTTCACAATAGTTTTTTTTTTAATAATCACAAATATTTAATGACATGATTGGCACCAGGGGTTCTTGAGGCAAAATTGTTAAGTATTATGAGGCCTAATATATTACATGAGTAAGGTGTGTGTGTGTGTGTGTGTGTGTGTGTGTGTGTGTGTGTGTGTGTGTGTGTGTGTGTGAAACATTGCATAATATACAATAATTTATAGACATGTAACGTGTGGTAGTGCCTCCTGGTGACCAATTTAAAATACAGCATACACAAATCAAAATGTCCAATGTCCAAAAGGATTGAGATAGTAAAACTGGGTATAAGAGTTTAGTGGTGCTGTTCCGAAGGTCATGGATGTTATAAGATACACCAAACTAGCTGTCAATAGACTCTGTGTTGCAAAGATATAACATCATGGTCATTTTGGTCTATCAAAAATCTTTGAAATTAAATAGGAAAGGTATGTTTAGCTTGGGATTGCCAAGGATTCCAATGATCAAAAATTATGACCGTTTTTGTAATTTATTTTGTTTTGATCACTGTAGTGCCATCGTGTGGCTGATCGGGGTGAGACATTGCATTGTTATGGACTGGTGGAGTATTACCATCACTAAAAGTTTCATGTCTCTAGGCCTAGTCCGGTCTGTACAATCAGTTTTAGGCAGGAAATTTAAAAATAAAATTTATAAAAGTAAAAAAATTAATAAATAGATAGATAAATAAATAAATAAATAGATAGATAGATAGATAGATAGATAGATAGATAGATAGATAGATAGATAGATAGATAGATAGATAGATAGATAGATAGATAGATATAGCCGCAAGCAGCAACCATCAGGGTCCAAGCAGTACGGCAAAGTGGAAAAAATGTTTAAACCATTCTAATTTAAAAGAATTGTTGTGTAATTGTGTGTTCCCAAATTACTTGTTGGGAAAAACTTATAGAGGCAGCTGTGGCGCAGTTGGTAGAGTGGGTTGTCCACTAATCGTAGCGTTGGCGGTTCGATTCCCGGCCTGGCCACATGCCGAAGTGTCCTTGGGCAAGACACTGAACCCCAAGTTGCTCCCGATGGTAAGCTAGCACCTTGCATGGCAGCTCTGCTACCATTGGTGTGTGTGTGTGAATGGGTGAATGAGACACAGTGTAAAGCGCTTTGGATAAAAGCGCTATATAAGTGCCCATTTACCATATAGGCTACAATGAAAAGGATATGTCTGTTTTTTAGTTTAGATTTTTTTTTATTGTTAACAATCAGAATCATTATATTAATTATATATGAGAATAGTCAGGGACGACACCTGCACAGGCTGTTGTTATGAACAGGCTGTTGTTATGTGCTGATAACCTGATTATTGCTATTCATAATAGCAGACGCAGGTGAGCAGTAGCAAAAGTGGATGATAAGAGCAGAATGAGAGCAAGGGATGATAGTAACAATTGTAGAGAATTAATGAGTACAGACACGGGTAAGTATACCAAAGTGGAGGAGACGAAGATGAGGAAGGACAGTTATGGAAGGGCAGGGCAGTCTGAGCAGTCCTTATTGAAATTTGACAAAGAGGTAAGTGTGAGGTGATTATTTTTGGAGTCCTTGATGAACAGGATAATTGATGGGAGGTGTGTATGATTAGTAGTCCAGAGAGAGGGAGCGGAAAGTGGGAGGAGTCTGAGTCTGATGGAGGCTTGACAAGATTTAAATAGGTTAAATGAGAATGGTCTCTCTGTACAAACACTTTTATGCTTGTACCTCAGCACATAAGTGTTAATTTTATTATTGCTATTGACACAATAAATAAGTGTGTCTACGCAAATATTAATCTATATATTATTTTAAAAATACAATAACTGTGTTTTTCATTATATTTACTGTCTTATATTGTCTTCATAATATATACTCATGTCTGCTAATTTGACAGATGTGTTTTCAAAATTAAGACATAAAAATTAATATAATCATCTTTAATTTAATTTAATCATCTTTGACCATTTCACACATTTGTTTGCAAACAATTTTTTTTTTATAAAACTCATTTTTGGTTTAAAAATTGAAAAACAAAATACAAACAAAGACGCGTCATAAATTTTTTGTTTTAATATTGACAATTATATTACTAATTAGCTATGTTTAAAACCTATTTTTTGATCTTATTCTTTGAATTGGAGATATTTCGATTTAAGGCATGCTTGTAAAATGTTCGGACGCGGTATTACAGCGCAATTACATAAGGGACTATCTGGCAATTCCACCCATTAAGTTAAAACGTTGAAGTTAACACGCATTAGTTAAAATGACATACGTTGTAACATACAAAAGTCATTTAAAAACATACATTTTTACATTCTAAAGGCTGTAGCAAGATCACAATGAGATTCACCTCACCTAAATGTTTTAGAGATATAATTCACCTAAATGTTTTAGAGATAAAATTCACCTAAATGTTTTTTTTTTTTTGTCACAATCCAAAAGTTGTAGAAGTTTCCTAGTGGCCAGAATGTACTACAGGCGAGATTTTGCCAATACCTGCCTGTATATAAATACAATATTCAATTATTTTAATAGGTCAGGCATCTTATTGTGAGTCTGCTACAGCCTTTAGAATGTAAAGCATGTGGTTTAAATGACTTTTGTATGTTAATAGTTATAAGTTTTACTTAATGCGTTGACAATGTCGACGTTTGGGGCTGGATCTAGGCATGGGCAGGGGTTGTCTGAGCCCACCCAAATGTCTGTCTTTTGGACAAAACATAGGCAAAGACAACATTAATCTTTTTTTTATGATTTGTATAAGCCTATTGGTTAAAAGTAATCTGAGGTGGGGTGTGGGTTGAGAAGTTTCAGGATGGGCAGTAGGCTGCCACAACCAATCACAAAATAATTCAAGCAAATTGCAGTATTTTACTATGTTTTTATTGGCTGAAAGCAACTCACGAGGCAGTTTCAGTCTGCCCACCTTCTTTAACTGGCAAGAACTGGGCCTGTCGACATTTTAACTCAGTGGGTGGAATTGCCTGACGGTCCCTTGCGCTGTGATACCGGGTCAGAACATTCTCAGGTGTAAATATTTGATTTTTGATTTTTTGATTAAATGTTTTATGTCCGTATATAATAACTGGATATTATTCAAACTAATGGTGGTAATTTTCCCAGTGGACGTCATCCTCCCTTACTGTAACCCTCTTACACTGTGGTCCCTCTTACTGCCTTTGAAAAGCAAGTATTAAACTTTTTGGATCGAAACATGTTTGACAAAGCCACTGATGGATTCTGCACAATTTTCAGTTAGTTACATCACTGAAAAAGGGTGGAAACATTTAGTGAGATGCAGGGGGACTCCAGTCAGGAAGCACCCCACAGTACAGGAGACCTCTTAGCATTTGTCCCACCCCGAGGCCACAGAAGGGACTTTATTGATGCTACAGGGCCGGCTGTGGCTTAGGTTGGTAGAGCGGGCTGTCCACTGATCGTAGGGTTGGCGGTTCAATTCCTGGCCCACATGACTTGGGCAAGACACTGAACCTCAAGTTGCTCCTGATGGCAAAATAATGTCTTGCATGGCAGCTCAGCTACCAATGGTGAGTGTGTGTGTGAATGGGTGAATGAGACAGTGTAAAGTGCTTTGTAGAACCACTAAGGTTAAAAAAAGCACTATA